CAGACACCAGATAAATGATTACAGTCTTACACAGAAAGCTGATCAGGATATAAATTATATAAGAATTAAAGTTCACATACCATCATTTGCCTTTTGGCCTAATTTTATTTTTGCATCTGTCACTGGCACTCTTGTTACTTGTTTAATTTCTTAAGGTTTTAAAAATAATTAATTATATAATTTATCACCTCTCTTTCAGCTGTATTAGCTGAGAACATGTTTTCTTAGTGTGATCTAGTCAATATTGAAAAGGACCACACAGTTTTAGTGTATACTTTATCATAGTTCACAGCCAGCACACTGAGAGGAAGGCAATTCCAACCACACATCTAGTCATCATTATTCTAATGTCAAAGCTGGATATTAATGGAGATCTGTGCAAGAAAACTGTGCAGATACCCTTTTATGATATAGTTGGCCTTTGTGTTGCATTTCTACCTCCAAATCTACAGAAGTGCGTCGAACTGCAGAAAGAATGTGACCATGCAGTTGAACCATTTGAGACTGTTAAAAACTACTTGCAGTTGACCTTGAAAATAATTTTCAAAGACTAGACAGAAAGCTGAAGTCTACTGAAGTCAGACCTGCCAGAGGCAGAGCACCAAGTTTTGCTCCTAACCCTGTCACTGCTACTTGTGTAGCATGCCACAGGCAACCAAGTTCCAGGTACCTACATGCAGTTCTTCTCTGGGAAAGACCAGCTGACAGCTCAGCAGCAGAAGGGGTGTTCCTCTTCTCATCCTACTGGGTGAGGGAGCTCCCCCTTCCATATGTCTTTTGGTCAAGGAGCTTTAAAAAACATGAATAACAGCTCTTCATCAGCTGACTTCCCCTGACCATCAATGATTTTTTCTGGTTTTGGCAAATGTAGGCAAGACAAGCACCTAACATGGGGTGCACTGCTCAAATTCTGCTTCAGGCTCCCTGTTCTTGTTAGCTTACATTGGCTTCCATACATATGGAAAAATTTGCACAACAATTTAAATAAACGGAGTCAGGAATCCCACAGTCTTCATGACAACAAGCAGTTGGCAAGAAACAATGAATTCCCCGAGAAACTCAGACTGAGTACTATTACTGCAACTTCCTTTCATACAGGCAAGGATTTTCAAAAGAATTCTAAAAGACATGTTAATATCTTTCTCATTAAAAACATTGCTCTCAAAATCTTTTCCTAGGTGTTAGGCAACATTTAAAAATAAAAAATTATTTATGCTAAAGTAATACCTGTGTCTGCTCTCCTTTTGGCCCTACAAATTCTCATGTAAGAGAACAAAAGGAAGAAAAGACAACAAAAAGAAAATGGAAATGCCCTGAAAAAAATGGAAGAGCAGACAAAAGGACCTGGAACTCAGAGGAAGCATAGTATTAATGGTTTCAGCTCTTAAATGAGACAGAATGTCTCAGCTTCAGAGCCTGCAGCATCTCCCAAATACCAGGAAAACAGGAAAGAATTTAGCAGGAAAAACCAGCAATCATTTCCATTTCCTCCTGCCAACTTAGAATCATAGAATTTGATTAAAAGCCTTTTTCAAACTCAAACTTCTTTTGAAACATAATTCACTGATTTTAGACTAGAAATAACCACTTTAAAATTTGATGTGTTCACTACACATTAATTCTTTGTCTGCCTGAAAAAAGCTCAGAAGCTGTTAGACTGTACCTCCACAAATTCACAGGTAAGGTGAGAATACTAGCAAAACTGAACAGACAAGTGGGAATGCAGAGAGAAACATTTTATTATACATAAAGATACTATGCACAAACATACATATTTCATATTTTTCTATGTAGAGCCTAAGATGATGCTTAAAGTCAAGAATGTCCTGAATGCCAACAGTTTTGGTTAAACCCTTCTGACAGTGCTTAAACTCCATTAAGACATCTGACTGCATACATTAGACTGCCAAATTTAAGCATGAACCTTTCTGAAAAAGATATTTTTATGCTCCTTTGAAGTAGAAAACCTGCTATCCAGAAAATGAAAAATAACAGCAAGAAAAATAACATGACACATTGATATAAATTGTGACCCAAAACTAGATGCTAAGGTATCTGGAAATTACTGCTTCATCTGATGACTCTTATACAAAGTGTTTTTTTATAAAACTAAGCAATCTCAATCTGATACTGCTGGCTACAGAAGCAATACATTCTTCTGAGAAATGGACAATTATTATCTTGTTTATCATTAAGTTTAGCACTCGGTTCTCCATTTCTCAGCTGACCTAATCTAATGCTGCCTGGGAAATGAAAGAGGAAGGGGCTTAGTTTTCATATTGTGAAGGCAGGAAAAGTTTTTCATTTGCATAGAAAAGGTTTTAAGAAGTTAAAAGACAGAATATTTGAGCAGGAAAACATTTTTTGCAGGCAACAATCAATGTATCTGACATCCAATTCCTGGGCAGAATGCAGTTTATCTATTTATACCATCATGAAGGCTGATAACTAATCAGAGCTAGCTGTCCTAGCTAAAACTCACTGTTCCTTTCCTGCATTTCAGCCATCTTCCTTCCATTTTTGGCTTTCAGAGATGATGCCTCAATCTATTCTAGCAAGTTATAGTTTTCTTAAATCAGCATTAAAGCTGAAGTACTGTATTAAGAAATACTGGATAGTTTTTAATAAGATAATTGTATTGTTTAAATTAAAACTCTACGTGAAGAACAGGGAGTTTAAGTTTGAGGGGCACTTTTACAACATTTTATGGTAATTACACCATATTTTGTTGTATTTGGTATGAATCTTATTCTTTGTTTCTTTGTTTCATCATTTAGTATAGCTTAAGTCTAATTCATCTGTTTTATTTGCCTGGATGACTTGATCATTCAGAGTGGACATTAGTCCATAAAAATGTATTCCATAGTGGTTGCATATTCAAAAAATAAGTCTCTGAATAAAAAAAAATTCCAGACCTCCTCAACTTTAGTCTACATGTCCTTAGGCAAATGTCTACTGGCTGGGACATAATAACATATGTAATGGGAAAAGTTAGTAACTGTATTATGTACCTAAAAAGAGTTAAAATATATATATCAAAAGCCAAAACAGGAATTTAGAATACTCTTATTAAAGATAGTATTGTAATGTTGCTTTTCTCTCTAGCTGAGTGTATTACCCTCATTGCAACTAGGCACAGAGCAAATTAAAAAGCAAAATATTCCATAAAACTGTCATAATTGACACATATCCTCTGCACCCCTCCCAAGTATAACACTGAAACTACCCTTTTGAAACATGAGCAATCTACACAAGCACATACTTGGTCAAGAATTCAAAGAAAGACTTCTCTTAATGCATGACCAAAACTGCTTGTCTAGCAACACTGACAGCTCTGAAAGACGAGTTGAGCAGCACACAAATTCCAACTGAGCATCAGGTGCTCCGTAACAGAACAACATAAGGTAGGACTTTATAGTCCCCACTGCTGCAGAAACATCAGTCAGCTCAGAAACTTCCTGCAGCACACCACAGGAAACATCACACCTTTCTGATCCAGTTTTTCATTCCAAGGAATGTAAGGGGTTATTTGGGATGAAATCTCCTTGATTCTTGGAAGGAAGCCATGCAGTTCTCTGTTCCTCTAGCTAATGAGATGTCCTGCAAGCTGCAAAAGGCCTGGAACTGGTCTGTTACCTAATAAAGTCATACATATTCCTTTGAACGTCTGCCTTCCCCATACAAAGAAGGGACTTGCTATGCTACCCACAGAGCAAACTGCAAACAGCTGACTGCAGAATTAAGACGAGGGCAGAAATAAATAAGGATGCCAAAACTATGAGAGTGCACAGGAGGAAGAAAAAAAGAACATGAAGAATTGTGCATATGTAATAATAGTACACAGCCATGTCACACACAACACCTGATGTTCTTGATTTTGCCCAAAGAGTAATTTAATAATTATGCCTTAACTCCACCTTTTCATATACAATCCTGAGCTGGAAAACTACTAAGTGCTATTAATACAAGCTAAAGCATCTCTAGCAACCCCTCTAGAACATCAATGACCAGTTTCTAAGCTCCCTTTTACCTTGTTTTCCATGGTTTGGCTCCTGTTGAAGGGTACATGGAGTTTTCTGTGGCAGTGTAGATCCCAAATCTACCATGAATCATCCTTAGGCTTATTTAGAGGTGGGAAGGGAATGGGCTTGTGAGGCCTGAATTATGAACTTTTAGTTATATTCACAATATCTCATAAACAGAACTAACTTAACAGAGCTGACTAGCAGCCATCATCCCTTAGTGATAGCTAATGAAACCCTCAAGCTTGTTACTCTGCTGAAGTGAAAATCATCACTGAGACGCCACATAAGGAGCATCTCTGCAGCACCTCATTGCACAGCAGTACCTGAGAGAAATAAAAGAATTCCCTCTGACTTCATCTGTGTATTAGCACGGACCTTTAATTTACTAAAAATCTGGTGAAAAAAAGAAAGGGAAACGCAAAAGGACATCAACAGTACTTGCCAGTAAAATTTGCAAACCACCTACCACACAGTTAGGACTTGATCCAAAGCACATCGACGTCAATGGGCTGAGGATCAGATCCTTATTCAGCTTTTGGAGCTAATTCATCTTTGAACTGAGAATTGTATATTTAGGCTGCAGTGTCCATATATATCTTAGTTGCCTAAAAGCTCTATCCAGTTAAGTTTTTAATACCTCCAAAAATGAAGACTCCACAGCCTCTCTGGGCCTCTGTGTCACGATTTGGCCATCTTCATGATGAAAAAAACATTATAGTATCTTAGAAATATGGAACTTCACTTTTTTTTAAATCACATGAAAAGCCGTTGTACTTCATAATGCTCATAATAAAAGGAACAGAAGCAGGTAAATAAAGAGCTATATATTGAAAATAGCCAAGAATGTAAGACATGACAGCACTTAGGTTTGACTGTCAAAACAGACAGAAAGCTGAAACCTGTTCGTTTTTACACAAATGGAAATTCCTACAATACACAAACTCTTATAATACACAAACTCCTGAGACTGCTCACCTGATCTCAGGAATATGGAGTATCCACTATGTGTTTGTCTGAACATGCTGCTAGAAGAATCTTCATTGCATTTAGCTGGAGCAATATTTCACAAGCCATAGTATCAAAGAAAGTAATATTGGCAAGAGCTGCTGAAGCCAGCAGAAAAACTTCACCAGATGAGGCATCTTGGCACAGTTCTAGGAATGGAGAAAATAAGTTCAATAAAAATCATTCTTTCATTGCAAAAAACATGGTTAGGTGTTTCAAAGCAATATTTAACTATCTGCAATTTGCATTAGCAAACAATATCTAAGACCAAGTTCACAGTCATCAAGATAAAATGCAAAACCAAGAAAAAGAAAATCATCATTTTGCCAGAAGACAGAAAGCTAAGAATACCTGTTTCACAAGAGAATAATTCTGCTGTGTATGCTGTTCTTTAGAACAAGATATGTATACACATTGCCTATTTCTAACCATATTTCTCTACAGTCAAAGAATACCTTGCATATTTTCCAGCTTTAGTAAGAAGTGCTGTTGACACAGCTCCTGTTTAATTCCTTGGACACATGTATTGTAACCAGGATCTGCATCACCTGGCAACTGGATTTCAGTATGGTTTAAAAAGTAAGCATATTACAGTAATTCAATTACTGAGTTATAAATATTTCAAAGAAACTGGTATGTGATTACTGAAAGT